GCAGAGGTCATTGATATCGTTATAGATTTTATTTATATATAAAAATGGACACTGAGGTCAACACCGAACGGTAACAGTCTGTTTGATCCGTGAAAGCAATCTTCGGGCCATGTTTGTTGGCTCGACTATTTATATAGGCTGGTGAATGTTGCATTATGGGTCGCAAGGTCTATTGTATTATCCTACTGGTTATTGGGTAGGCGGTAGCTTTTTTTTTTTTTTCAAATTATTCTAGAGGCTATTAAGTAGAATAAAACTCTCTGTCACGATGACTTGTGATTTTGGGCCAGCACAAACATCAATGTCTTCCCAATCGTTCCGTCTGCTCAATTTTCCTCAAATGGTTTGAATCAAACCGTGGTATGGTTTTCGGGCATTTTGTAAAGGTGATGCACGCTGGGGTCACGTCCTCAAACCGACAACATCAATAAGTTACTTTCCTGGCAATTCGGGTTTCATTCATAAGCGCATAAAAGGCTGCGACCCTATTCCAAGCAATGTCACTGCTTGATCCATCCTCAAATATGGACAGCGCTGATGTTCTGCTAGGGTCTTACAATCTCTTGCACAGACGTGGCAACGTTGGACAAAATTTGCAATAGTTGTTATATACCGTATATTTCTGCGTATGAGAACCCTTAAATCTTAAAAATTACTCCCCCCACACACACAAAAAATAGGGGATCTTCTAATACAACAGTTACAAAAAGCTAACGGTAACATCCTGTGGTGTATCGGCACTGGTAATTAGGCTAATACGCTTGGGTCATGGATTGCGGTAGGCTAACAATTGCGTTGGTATGGTAACTAGGGGAGGAGTGGAACCGGACGATAGGCTAACTTACTCCTATTGAGGAAGGATAAATAAGTAAATAGTAATTAAAAGGTTTAGGCAGAGACGTTAGAAATCGAATCGAGGGTGTGTGGTTTCAGGTTTTTAAACTTTACATCTTCCTATAGGCGATGCCCAAAGTCAAATAGCAAAAAATCGAATTGTATTTTCGCTATTCCAAATCTGCCTGTACTGCTTCAAAGAAGTTATGTCGTCACAACACAAATCAGCTTTCTTACAAATTTGAACCGCCTAAATATGAACATGCTGGAGAATCGTATAAATTATATAAAAACGTGGCTTCTAAGGGAAGAGAGAAAACTGCGAAGAGAAGATAAATTTTGTAATCAAGTGCAGTGACAAGGATGTAATGTTATATTAGTAACATCTGTAATGAATACGAGAATACATTTTTCATACCCAAAATAATTGTCTATTCACATTTTGTCTCCACCAAGTTAATCTCAGCAGAATCGAGGCTATATATATTCAGGTCTTTCTTCACCATCTATCCAAAGAATACACAGCGATTAAAGATAATTCTAAAAAAAGGTAGCGATGAATAATTATAATAAGCAAGGTATTGAATGGACATGGCATTTTAAAAAATGGTGTGCAGACCTTATTTACAATTTCTGGGAGAGAGACATCACTTTAGACAAACTATCGGTCACTCCAAGCTAGAAAAACTATCGACGGCTTCGTTATTTTGTAATGTTATCTTGCTAAGGAATTTTTCACATGCAAAAACACGAATTGTTTATTCCTTTCTAGCTATTGTCAAATTAACGTCGGCCGAATCGAGGGTATGGGGTTTCGAGTCTTACTTCGAATATTTGATCTTCTCGCGCGGATGTGAGAAAGTCTCTTGTCTCTCTTGTAAGTGTTTATATAACTTCCTATTATCCGTTTCTCATGCGTGTGTGTGTGTGTATGTATGTGTATGTTTACGTATGTGTGTGTGTCCAAAGTTCATCTGGGTTCATCTGTTTGTGTTAATAAGCATACCAAAAAGTACCTATGCCCGATTCGGCACTTGATGGCTTTGCAGCTACCTTCGAAGTCGACCCAAGGATTTTTAGTTTTTGGACTTCTCGTGGTAACACCAGGTACAAAACGTATATCGGTATCTTTTACAGTGAACCCAGCATAATATTAGGGTCAGCAAAGGTCAACTCTTCTTAGACCAAAGGTTCCTGATGACGATTAAATTCAATTCATATATCTGCAAAGGGAATTATAGCAGATTTTTTTGCTGATTCTGTTGTTCATATTAAACATAATTTCAATTTATTGCGTATGAGAATGTCTTCTTCGTGTGTGTGAAATATTCTGTTTAAGAATGTGTATACGAGTAAAACGACATCTGAATTGTCCTACATTACAATAGGAATTTTTATTAGCCTCTTTCCGCTTGAAGAGTCAAAGATTCACAGAAAGTAGACATTTTGATTTTCAAAGAAAAACCTTTACTTGTCCTATTAAACAATTCAAGAACTTTATGAAAATTTAAAATGCTCTACTCATACAGGTATGAAATATGGTTTCTTATGGGATATTCTACTAGATTGTTTTCAACCTACAAATCAGGTTTTCTTTTGTACAGGGCTTGACTTAATTTCCTATACTTTATGGGCCAGACATATATCTATGTCAGGAGACCATCTCGACAAAATTAATACTTTACTGAAGCGGCCGTTTTAATGCTTTCGTATGAGTCCTACTCTCCTATAAATAAACGATCTTTCGATAAGCATCAGTGAAGTCACTTCGACGTGATGTAAGGACAGCCATATTGTCACGCGAGATCAACTGAAACTGAATAGGGAGATCGATCCGCACTGGCTGCCTCATACAGTTGGCCTTGTGCCACAGCTACACTAAGAAAATTATTTGGAGGCACCTCGACATGGTGTAAGTGTTAGCAATCTTGTCTCACTAGATTAATTGTGATTAAATAGTGAGTTAGATCTGCACTGAGTGCCCCATACTTACGGCCTTGTGCCGCATCTAAGCTCCGCTTAGAAAATCACCGTATAAATGTTAGTAATCCTTGGGTAAGATTATTTCCACCTGGGTATTTAGAAAGGTCCTTCTTCCAGAATATTGGGAAAAGTCCTTCCTCCATAATATTGGGAAAAGTCCATCCTACAGATTATTGGACGTAGTGCTTCGACTAGAATGAATATGTATTTTTCAAAAGTGATTTTATAGCGTATTTATAAACAGACTGTTCCCCCAAAGATTGATTGGTTTTTACGGTTTATCGACCTCTTGTGGGTTATTTAAAGACGAAACATATTCTGGGTTGTAAGAAAAATTTCTTCTTCTTTTTTACGGCTTATCAACTTTAGGAGTTATTGAAAGCCGAAACATATTTTGAATTGTAACAATAATTTCTTCTTTTTTACGGCTTATCAACCCTTTAGAGGTTATTGAAAGCCGAAACATATTTTGGATTGTAACAATAATTTCTTCTTCTTTTTTACGGCTTATCAACTCTTTACGGGTTATTTAAAGCCGAAACATATTTTGGAATGTAAGAATAATTTCTTCTCTTTTTACGGCTTATCAACCCTTTGTGGGTTATTTAAAGCCAAAACATATTTTGGATCGTAAGAATAATTTCTTTTTCTTTTTTACGGCTTACCAACCGTTTAGGGGTTATTTAAACCCGAAACATATTTTGCATTGTAAGTATAATACTTTTACTGCAAAAATAAACTCCAAAATTACCTCATATTGTTAATAGGCTTATTTCAAATATCTCAGTTTTATTCAACCCTGATATATAATCTGAGTTCGTGTGGGAATTAAAAACTGTGACGGCTACAAGAAAAAAAAAAAACAAAAAAAAACCGTCGAAAAACTAATACAAAAGTTATCCATTTCAATGTTTTAGTCAGGCAAAAGGCATGAGCCAGTTGTCAGGAGTGGGTGGAAGTCTTAAAGGGAAGAGGTTCTATATTTGTAAATATAACCTGTTTTTGATTTAACTTACATTTAAATTTAAAATTTTTATTTATTTCATTTTTATTTCTAAATCTATAATGTATTTTATCATATATTTTCATTTCTTAACATAAACTATTGATAGGTTATATTCTTAATATAACCTATTGATAGGTTATATTAAATATACTTTTTTTAAATATAATTTTACTTAATTTTAATGTAAGTTATCTAAATATGACTTATTTTTCATTTATTTAAATATATCTTATTTTTAAATATAACTTGTCTTTGGAAGAATACTTTTAAGTATGATTCTGTATTTTGAAACGTAACTTTATCTATATAAGTTTTTTTTTTTTTTTTAAATAAAACTTTTCAATCCTCTCTTAGTTTAAAATTAAGATTTATTTCTTCATATAACTCAAATTTAATGTCATAAGGTTAACATCCGGGTTTAATTTTATAAAACCTCCTCCCTTTAAGACTAAAACCTTCCACTCTCCCCTGACCACTGTCTCGTGCCTTTCGTCTGACTGAAACATTGCAATGGATAAATTCGGTATTAGCTTTTCGACGGTTTATTTTTATTTATTTTAAATCGTTGAAACACAGACATGAGACAGTATCAACGTGCCTTCATCCATCACTACCGAAATCAAAAACTTTGAAGCCATCAGAAAAGAAAGGAAAAAAAAAGTTACAGGACAAAAGAGAAAGACTCGACAAAATCAAACTCGTCCTGCACCACCATTACCATACAGTCAATTCCATCGGTTCTTCCATACAAGAATTGGCCGACTTAGTCATCGACGTCATCATCATAAAGGAAGCAGCCAATAAGCAAGAAAATAAATTCTTGGATACAGGATAAAGCCGACGACGACGACGATATTTATTAGGAGTATAAAGTTGAGCTCTGTTATGATACATCGAAAACTTTTTTATTAACACTAGTAGTCAATGTGCGAAACTTCATATATATATATATATATATATATATATATATATATATATATATATATATATGTGTGTGTGTGTGTGTGTGTGTGTGTTATAGAAATGAAGATGCGGAAAAGAAGTTCGAATAGATGAAAGTAACACTTGAAGAGCCACGTGTATGGCTTAACTTCATATATACTTAAAAAGTTTTGACTGTCGACCATATCTGCTTTCAGACGCTTAATTAGCGAAACACGTGCTCGTCTAATAGTAGACAGCACGTGTCTACATACTCTTCTCTTTTTCAGTCTCTCCTTTCTTGTCTCTCCTTTCTCCCTCACCGCTAAATCGTCTTTCTTTATCACTGTTTGTATATCTTACGACTGACTCTATTTTGAATCCCTTCTTTGTCTTTTTTTCCATTTCTTTCTCTGCGTCTCTTTTCCTCTTTGTCTGTGTGTGTCTGTCTTTCACTCTCTTTTTCTTTGCCCTCTTTATCTGCATGTCTCTATCTTCCTCTCTCTTTTTTCTCTTCATGAATACCTGAATTTCTCTTACCTTCTCTCTCATTAACTATTTTTCCCCTCTTGTTTCTCTTTATGTGCACATCTCTGTTATGGATAAGAATGTTTAGCATATTGGAGCAAAGAAAGTAGACATATATATATATATATATATATATATATATATATATATATATATATATATATATATATAATATACAGAAAAAAAAAAAACAAAAATCTTAATATGCAATTATGCTGTATTAATATAATGTCAACGTCGGACGTTTCGGTCTATTTTTAGACCATCATCAGGACATATTCATAAAACGTCCGACGTTGACTTTATATTAACATTAATACATATAATTGCATATTAAGATATTTGTTTGTTTTTTCTGTATATTTTTCTTCATACTGCCGGATCTATATCCATATATTTTGCTTATATATATATATATATATATATATATATATATATATATATATATATATATATATATATATATATATATATATATATTGTCGCTAGTAACTTAGTTTTCACTTTACCACCGTAGCCTGCTGGCCCAATAGTACGACTGCGTCGTATCGTAATGGTCCGAGTTCGATACTCAGAAAAAGGACCCAAACGGCCGTCCAGTGCTTTTCTGCATGTGTGTGTTGAGGATTCTAGCTCTAAACATGATGAATTAATATGAAAATATACTTAAGTACAGGCTTGCTACGCATGGAATAAATTCCAATAACCAAAAACACTATTCTTAAAAGAGTGCCCAATACCAAGTAGAGGTAATAATATTTATTCAAATTTAGAACATATGCATGTTATAAGAACATTACAAAAGTTGCAATTTTGTTTTAAGACTACTGGGGGTCTTATGGCCTCACGATTGCGTTTAGCATGAAACAAACTGTCGCCTTCGGGTGTTGACTTCAATGTTGACTTTTCTGTGTACATAGGCTCTATCCCTGATATTGAGCACGTTAACCCATAAATAATATAGCACACCTTAAAACTATATTTTTTTCTCTCTCTCACACACACACACGCGCGTCTATATACTATATATATATATATATATATATATATATATATATATATATATATATATATATTCATTTATTCAATAATATATAGAGTTTTGTTTGTTTACTTATTTTTTAGACTGATCCTTTTCCAGTTGTCTAATCAGTTTCTTAATGTTGAGATGAAATTCTTCAGGTAAGGTGCAGTGATACATTTCATCTTAACATAAAGAAGCTGATTAGACAACTGAAAGGATCCGTCTAAAAAATAAGTAAACAAAAACCTCTATATTATTCAATGGAACAAACATGTTGGAATAAAAATATGGTGCCTATATATACATATATATATATATATATATATATATATATATATATATATATATATAGATAGATAGATAGATAGATAGATAGATAACTAGACTCGTTTCGAAAAAACCCTCAAATTTTTGATTTGCTAATCAAATCAATCTCGGAAAAAAAAAGGTTTTAAAAAGAAAGAGCTACAAACATGAACTGCTGCCGACAAAAAAAATCGCACAGATACAGGTTTGAAGCCCAAAGAAAAAACCCTGATAAAAAAAACAACTTACTAACAAAAGAGCTCAATACAACCGTAGAACAGACCTAGATAAACCTAGTGAGCCAGACAACCTACCTAGGTTTCACCTAAACGGATCGTCAGGGAAAAGTTTGGCTAACGAGGCAAAGAGAAACACATATTTATAGGTGATAGCTAAAATCATACCACGTGACAAAAAAAAAAAAAAAAAAAACCTTAGTGGGGGGTAAATATTTATTCAAAAAAAAAATGTCTGGCTCACTAGGGTGTATCTATCTATATCTATATCTATATCTATATATATATATATATATATATATATATATATATTTGTGTATTTTAGCACCATCCTTCTTTGATGCACATTTCATTGATAAAGACAGGCAAGGTGATTTGATTTAGTTTTTTTATACAATTTCTCATGTGATCTAATAATGTTTTTTTTTCTTTTCACATGATAAATTATATAAAAACTGTCCGAGCGCTTTCGGCTATACCTTTAGCCATTTTAAAGTTTGAAACAGTTAACAGTTAAGTGATGGTGTTGAATGTAGAATAAAGGGTTTTTTCTTTCTTCTACATTCGACATCATCAGTTAATAAGACACCAGAAGTGTTGAAACAAAATGGCTATTTTTGTAATGATTTTATAACATATTTATGTTATAATTTTCGAATAAATAATTATATTTGCTCTACCCTGTATTGAGCACTATTGGTTATTGGAATTTATTCCTTATACATCAATCCTATACTTGGATATATATATATATATATATATATATATATATATATATATATAAAGAATATATATATATATCAGTAATAAAATTATCAGTGATGAGCGTCACAGTTCAGAAACGCTTTATTTTCCATTTTTATAATACTTATATATTAAAATAAGAATAGTGTGTCTTTGCTGGAGGGCACATTTCTGTATTAAGATTTAAGTCCGACAGACAGCATATTCATATATATATATATATATATATATACCTCGTTTAGAGCTAATATAAACGTGCGGCGTCTATTTCAAGTAAATGTCCAGTATAATAACTTTGAAGCAATAAACATGTCGGATTAAAAATAGATCCATAAATTCTTCAGAAATTCCCTTGTTTACGTTTCGGATGCGAAATTTGAGCAGACATGGATATTCTGGAAAAGCTATTTGAATGAGCAAACTTTTCGTTTATAAATACTTCTTGCAAAATAAAATCTTTAAATTTGCCTTGATAAAGCCCATCAGAGGACGAAACGGGTCGACTTAAAATAAGTTTTCTTTTGTCTTTATTTATATTGTTGTTTTACAGATATATTTTCTCTGATATTGAAATTTACTGAAACTTTTCGTCCAAACTCACACACACACACACACAACATATTTATATATATATATATATATATGCCGCAAAATTTATTTAGAAAAAATATTATACAACCAAAAAATATATATACTTTTTTTTTAATATAAAATCGTTGCCACAACATATTTTTTTATATATATATATATATTATATATATATATATATATATATATATATATACGTTTTATGAAAACTGAAAGTTTACTGAAACCCATCGCCCACACACACACACACACACACACACACATATATATATATATATATATATATATATATATATATAAGTTTTTATGAAAATAATAAATATGAACTAAAAATTCTTGAAGCTATATTTGTTAAAACTTGAAAGCAACCCTTAATAAAATTATTTATGAATACTGCACAAATTTTTTAAAATGTTTACAGTAGATAGCTTAAAAATATCTAGGTTTTAACGAATAGTTTTAGATATTGTTTTTTTAAAAATATTTAGACATAACTTAGTTACCTGCCTTGACGTTTGCACATATGCCTAGATGATAAAATTTAAAATTGTACAGTACATAACCTTAGCATTTTTCTCTTCACACGCAAATATTCAAATAAATCGAATATGCATCAGCATGTTATATATATATATATTTATCTGAAAGTTTACTGAATATATATATATATATTGTAAAAATATACTTTTATGGTATGCGATATTTATGGGTAAATGTGTTCAATATCAGTGATACAGCGCATGTAAATATAAAAGTTGTACTAGCGGTACTAATCCTTTTTTCAACTTGGACCCGATCTTCAGACCATAACCTGAAGATTGCTGCCAAATAATCTTCCAGCAGCCACCCTCTTGACCCAGGCCAGCACTACCTTCTCAAGACACTCAATGTAAGCCTCCGTATTGAGTTTGAGGACCTTGCCAACAAATTCTTGAGTTCTTTTCTTATCAGAACGAGCAGAATGAGTTTTCCGAACTGCCGTACCTTCGTAATCACCATTAGAATCATCCCACTCTTTCCGAATCCGCTGTACTGTCTATAGTGGAGCTTCTGGATAGACACCCAAAAAATCTGAAATATTTATATTGGGGCTAATGGAGCGAATGCCAAGTAGTACAGGTCCTCGGCACATCGAAGAAAACCATTTTTAATGTCATGTTCTTTCAGGATCTAAGCAATCATGGCTTTTTAAGAATTTAATTTTTTATCAGATTATCTGTCAGTTTCTATTCATGGAATAGTTATATACCGCGTGTCCCAAAAATGTGTTAATTTTTGATTTCTTATAACTTCTTGCAATTTTTCTTGTATTCAAATTGATGTATTTAATTTCATTTAATATTTAATTTGAACCATTAAACTTCTTTGTAAGTCAATAAAAATTAATATTTCTTTATTTAACTATTAATCTTATTTGCAAGTCAATAAACACTGCATTTATAGTCATTTAAAGTGTGACTCTATTTTTGGAAGATACCTTGAATATATATATATATATATATATATATATATATATATATATATATATTGAGGTGAGGAATTGGAGAACTGAGTTCGAATTCCAGTCGTGCTTATACCCTTGGGAAATATATGAATCATCTTCTTCTATCCATAGCTATGGGTAAATTCCAGGACAATCCAGGTTCTATAGCCTTTGATGGCAACTGGTCTACCGCAGAAAGAAATGGCAAAAAATCTGCCTCGTCAGTCATGTATCGAAAGATAAATGCTCGCCTAAGCGTGTATCACGCATGCCACATGACTAACTGATATATGGTGTCGAGAGGGATCATATAACAATCTACCAAATACATTTGTCGTGCACAAAAATAAATTTGTTCACATTTTGATCTAAAAGATCTAAAAAATAACACACTCATTTTCATGGGTCCTTACTTATAACTACAGAATGAACTCTTCCTAACACTATGTATACTACGTCTTTCAAGAGAGAGGGTCGAATCAATCCGAGCTTCTCGGCTTGACGGTCGAACTCTCTGCCTCTGAGCAGAGAGGAACCCGGACGAGGCTCCGCCGAAGGGTAGAGTCTCGTTCGGGGAGGTTGACCAACCCGATCCCGTTTATACGGGTTCTACCGGCATT